TTTTATCTTTGTGTGCCTACTAAATTGATCCAGGAGTTTCTCTACTTTGCTATCCTTCTCCATGGAAGTTATGTAAGTTCCCAGGTGGCTGAAATATTGTGACTTACTGTCCTGGGATAAGGTGAGGGCCATCTAGCCTTCCTGTTACATCATGTCCTCTTTGACCGTTGCTAAGATGCGGCTTGTAACACTTGATCTTGCACATCCATTTCTGGCCCTGCTACATCTGCTGTGGTTATCAGAGACTCAAGCTCAGATCCGAAAGTGACGCTTGACATCATGTTAGCCCAACAAGCAAAGCCAGTTAGCCCCTTTCTGTGCTCTTCCTTGAGGGCTGACGAATTCTTACCGGCCTTTCCCAGGCTACACTGAGGTGCTCACGTTGATGCCCTGCCTCTGAAGTACCCACTTCAGCTTTGGCTGGACTTGGAGCACTTCTCAGAGGCCTGCAGCCTCCTAGGCTATCCTCTGATAGGCCAGGTCTTCTCTACTAGGACCTAGGGTTTCTGACAGCGTTTACATAATCCATCCTGAACAACAGATTCATTCTAAGGTACCAACCAGTTATTCCTGGCCCCTGATTCTTCCTTCCTACTCTCTGGATGCACCTTTGTCTCTTGGGGGAGGGAAGCTGCTCTGGGATCATTACTCAAGATACTCTCCCTCTACATACTCCATAAATATTCTGTGAGCCCTCCATCATTGTCAGGATTTGGAGCTTAATAAAACATTTTTCTATAAGAAATTCCAGCTCATACTATAGGAGGACTTGCACTTAAGGCTCTTATTTCTGCTATTTTCAGCAATGTCTGATTTGATGTTGGAAATGTAGTAATAATTTCTTTCTTTCTGGCAGTTTCTGGTCACCCCTGGGGACAGTACCTATGGAAGATGGTTTTGGTTTGCTTAGGGACTTCCAGTAACCTGAAATTTCCCTCTTCTCCTTCGTATATTATTTAAGACTTGTTTCCATAAAAGTCATCACAAAATAAACCACTTTGTCATCTTTGTTGTTTTTTTTTTTCTCTCTCTCTCTCTCTCTTTTTTTTTTTTTTTTGTACAGGCATTGTTTGCTACATTTATTAATATGTCCAGATTACTTAATCTAAGAGTTGTGTCCCTGTGAAAGACAAAATGCACGTGGTAATTAAAGAGATTATTTTATTCAGGCAAACCATTCATTAATGAAGAGCAAGAACACCTGGGGTTTAGAAAAGCAGGTAAACAAGAGGGCCATGAAGAAGGATAGGGAGGGAGACTTGGAGGTTTGGAGAAGAGGGTGGAGGGCATTCTTATTGTGGAATATGCCAGGCAGGGTGATTCTTTGTGGTTAGCCATTTCCCAGAACATCAGTAAAGGATTAAGGTTCAACATCGTCAGTTCCCCTTTTGTTCAAGAAGAATATTATTCTTTGTTCTGTAATCCAGTGATTACTCAGAAGGTTTTTTTTAAAAAAAAAAAAAAAAAAAAAAAGCCAACAAAAAAAAACCCTTCACAAACTTTTACTAAAGCAGACAAGGTAAACACAAGCTCTTTTTTAAAATCTTGTAAATAAACCCATCAAACCTTAGCTAACTTTGACCACGGTAAATAAATTTCCCCTTTGTTCTTTTGGAGAACTTTGTGCATCTATTCAAGTTTTGTCTTGCACACAGTCAGTCATTTCACCTTAGGACAAAGCCATTCTCACACTAGTATTTTTCAGCAGACAAGCTAAGCTCATGAATATACAACTCACAACTTTCTGCAGCCACACATTCCTTATAGTACAACTTTACAAAGTGGTAAAAATCAGCATGTTCATTAATAGGCCCAAGTAGATAGTCTCCAAGTAACAGAAAATAAGAGGCAAAATATAGATAAACTTAAGACTTTGCTTTGTTTCAGTACTCTGTCTTACTTGGAAATGATTTAGGTATTCAATAAATATCTATCAATTAACTAACTTTAGTGTAAATCTGAGGTTTTAAGTTGCCTAAAGATCTTGGAAATTATCTTCAAGCTGACATACTATAAAACATAATTACTATTGAAATAAAGTTTGTCATTATAATAATTTATTTGGTTAAACATAAATTTATACTTTCCATAATTTTAAACATTAATCTAAAACATTAGTAATACAAGCTTAATAAATCAGTAAACCTGTATACATTTACACAGACCATTCCCAAGTAGAAATAAAAATCTATGTATATATTACACTTAACCCTGCTCCATCAGAGAAGACATAGCTGTTCTTATTAAAACCAAAATTATTAAAGTAGTCTTGTTTCCCAAAGCTTTATCTAAACTATGTGAACTTGAATTCCTAAATCATATCCAAGTTAGTTTCTGTAAAAATAATTTTTAAATCAAGACATTGAAACTATTTCAGATTCAGTTTTCACTTACTTTTTGTTTTTTTACTGTTTTCCTTTTTGTGGAGAACGGGGTCATGCTATATTGCCCAGGCAGGTCTCCAACTCCTGGGCTCAAGCTATCCTCTCACCTCAGCCTCCCTAAGAGCTGGGATTACAGGCGTGAGGCACTGCGCCCAGCTAGATTCAATTTTCTTAATTTCTGGAAATATTAGGAATATTCAATTTATATAAGTATTTACTTATCTCTGAAATAACAAGAATAGAGCACCATTAAGAGATTTTATAATCTAATGACTAATATCATCCTGTGGTAGAGAAATATTACACATTCACACAATGAGAGGTAAAGGCCTCTCTGAATTATAAATACATAAGCATGCAGGCATAGAGAGAGCTTACAGTTTTAATTCTGAAATTTTAGCCATGGGTCAAGTATAAATACATAATTACAAAACTCATTGGTTCATATCAAAGAGCTGTTCTTTTCACAGCAGGTATGAATGCTTAATTTGTTTGAGCTCAATATGGACAGGTAGGCAAACATAAGAGATTAACACACCAGATTGTCCGTCAACTCTCACCCAAGAGAGACAAGACTTCTATAAAATCATTAATCTATTTACAGAGATCACCAAATGGTCAGACCACAAAACCAAAAGAAGCCACAATCCAGATGGGCACGGTGCCTCGCACCTGTAATCCCAGCATTTTGGGAGCCTAAGGTGGGCAGATTGCCTGAGGTCGGGAGTTCAAGACCAGCGTGGCCAACATGGTGAAACCTTGTCTCTACTAAAAATACAAAAATTAGCTGGGCGTGGTGACATGTGCCTGTAATCCCAGCTACTCAAGAGGCTGAGGCAAGAGAATCACTTGAACTTGAGTGGCGGAGGTTTCAGTGAGCCGAGATCTTGCCACTGTACTCCAGCCTGGGTGACTGGCTGGAGACATCTCAAAAAAAAAAAAAAAAAAGAAAAAAGAAAAAGAAAAAAGAAAAGAGAAGCCACAATTAGAAATCAAGTGAGTTCTCATAAGGAATCAAAGTCAAGTCCCTGCCACACTGCCAATGGACATGGGTCCCCAGAGAGCAGGATTTGGGAGTCCAACATGAAGAGTCAGAACCACCCCTGGTCCTCAGAGCACCCATCAGGAACGGAGCACAAAGGGCTCCAACAGGCCTCCTTGCCTAGGTGGAACAAAAGGAGATCTGAAAGCAAGATGTGATCCTATCCAAGTCATGTCACCAAAGCTGTGAAAGACAAATGCACTATAAAGTTAAGGGTATAATTTTATTCAGACAGAACATTCATGAGTGGGGAACACCTCAAAGAAGAGGGAGAAAGCCTAGAGTTTTGAAAAGGAAATCATGAAAAAGGATGGACTGGAAGTCTCATGAGATTCACAAGAGAAGGCATTCTTACAATATGTGAGGGCAATGTGGCCCTTTGTGATAAGTCATTTCCCTGAACACAGAAGCTGGGGAGATTTCTTAACTGTTAAACTCTGAGGCTCAGACAAATCTCAAAATTTTCACACACCCCTCCCCCACCTTGTAGTAGGTCCCAACTGGTACAGGGGTTAAGAGTTTGCAGTAGGTAAGGAGGCAGAGCTGTATAACTTGGAAAAGTTACTAAAGTGGTTTTGATTATGCTGTCTTCCAAATCAAAATTACTCATCTATTTAATAAGTTCCTTCAGGTCAGCAATTATATAGTCATATCACTTTGTAACATTGGAGCAGTTATTTAATTTCTCTCAGCATCCCTCTCCTACTCAGCAAAATTAGGAGGTTGTAGACAAGTACAAGCATGTTCATTGCATATTTATTTATAAAACCAAAAGTCTGAAAACAACCTAAATGTACGTGCATGGGAGAATGAATAAATAAAATAATTTATATTCATACAATGGGCTACTATGGCAGTAAATAATTTGATGCACACACGTTATCACAAATAGATCTTACATACAACATGTTAAGAAAGTAGAGAATGATTCCAACAGTGCATCATGTATGGAACTTTAAATTCACAACACAGAAACAATACTATGTATAGTGAATGCATATATACCGAAACCATTTTTAAAAATGAATGGGATAGACTGGTCCAATCCCTAAAACTAGCCACATGTGGCTATTGAGTGGTTGGAATACAGCCAATCTGAATTGAGATGTGCTGTGAGAGGAAGTTATACACTAACAAAAGGTAAAAATAGCTCATAACACCTTTTAAATATTGACTGCTGAAATATTTTGGATATATTGGGTTATATAAAATAATTACTAAAATTAATTCCATTTGTTTCTTTTTACTTTAAAAAATTTAATTAACTTTTTATATTTGTTTTAAAATACCTTATTGAAATAAGAATTAATATACCAGACAATTCTCCCATTTACATTGTACAATTTAATGTTGTTGTTTTTATATGTTCACAAGGTCGTGTAATTATCACTACAATAAATTTAGGACATTTCATCACCCCAAAAGAAACCTTGTTCCCATTACCAGTCAGGCAATCACCAGTCTACTTTCTGTCCCTTAGGATGTACTTATAGCTTGTCATCTTATATAAATCATACAACATGCGGTCTTCTGTGACTGGCCCATTTCACTTAGCATAATGTTTTTCTTTTTAAAAAAATATGAAATGCTTCACAAATTTGTGTGTCATCTTTGCATAGGAGCCATGCTAATCTTCTCTGTATCATTCCAGTTTGGGTAAAGCTTTTGAATTTAGAATAGTTCTAGGTTTACAGAAAAATTGCGGACGGTACAGGGAGTTCTCATATATCCATATTCAGTTTCTCCTGCTATTAACATCTTACATTAGTATAGTGCATTTGTCACAATTCGTGAACCAATTGTTTACATTATTACTTATATTCCTATTTTAATGTTTACATAATAATTGTACATATTGATGGGATACCTAGTAGCATTTTGATACATACATTGTATAGCAATCAGATCAAGGTAATTAGCATATCCATCCTCTCAAACGTTATTTCGTTGTGCTTGGAATATTCAATATCTCCCTTTTAGCTATCAGAAACTATATATTATTATTAACTATAGTTATCATACAGTGGTATAGAATACTGGACCTTATTCCTCCCATCTAGCCGTAATTTTGTCGTTTAACAAATATCTTCCTATCCCTCCCTTTCTCCCTACTCTTCCCAGCCTCTAGTATCCTCTGTTCTACTTTTTACTTCTATCAGATCTACTTTTTTTTAGCTTCCACATATGAGTGAGAACATGCGGTGTTTAATTTTCTGTTCCTGTCTTATTTTAAATGTAGCTACTAGACATTTAAAATTACATATGTGCCTCCCATTATATTTCTGGTGGACAGTGCTGAACTAGAAGTTTATATCCCAAACATCCCAAATAGCCCTTGCAGTGATATTTAAAGGGACTTTTAGTCACATTAGTAAGGTTGAATGCATTAAAGAAAAATAGACTAGGAGCAACTATGACAAAAATGTTAACAGTTGTTAATTCTGAACTATGATAGTAGAGATTATTGTTATAATATTTGTCATATATTTTTTATTTCTCAAAAAAGAAAAAAGTCCCAAAAAACTTGCATATCTCCCACTCTTATATTTGACCAGATAAAATGAGCAGTGCACTGGAATTTATTAAAAACTAGCCATGTAGGCCGGGCGTGGTGGCTCATGCCTGTAGTCCAGCACTCTGAGAGGCCAAGGTAGGTGGATCACTTGACCCCAGGAGTTATTATCAAAGTCACTGTCAGTACATTTGTGTTCCTATAAAGGAATACCTGAGGCTGGGAAATTTATAAAGAAAATAGTTTTGTTTATTTGGCTTACAGTTCTGCAGGCTGTACAAGAAGCATGATGTCAGCATCTGCTTTGCTTCTGGTGAGGTCCTCAGGCTGCTTCCATTCATAGCAGAAGGCGACAGGGAGCTAGAGTATACAGAGATGAAGAGAAAGGAGGCAAGAAAGAGGGGGGAAGACACCACACTCTTTTCGATAACCAGCTCTAGCAGGAGCCAATAGTAAGAACTCGCTTATCCCTTTCACCTTGAGGGTGTTAATCTATTCATGAGGAATCTCCCTTCAGAACCGAAACAGCTCCCAGTAGGCCCCACCTCCAACACTGGGGATCACATTTAAACATGAGGTTTGGAGGGTCAAATATGCAAACTATAAGGGTGGGGTGTGGTGGCTCACACCTGTAATCCCAGTACTTTGGGAGGTCAAGATGGGTGGATCGCTTGAGCTCAGGTGTTCAAGACCAGCCTGAGCAACATGGTGAAACTCTGTCTCTACAAAAAAAATACAAAAATTTGCCAGGCATGGTGGCACACTCCTGTAATCCCAGCTACTTGGGAGGCTGAGGTGGGAGGATCACTTGAGCCTGAGAGGTGGAGGTTACAGTGAGCTGAGATCATGCCAGTGCACTCCAGCCTGGGCAACAGAGTGAGACCCTGTCTCGAAAAAAAAAAAAAAAGCAAACTATAGCAGTAACTAACTTCTCTTTTACATAGGAAAGTGGGAGGTACTATGTTGGTGCAAAAGTAATTGCCATTAAAAGCCACAATTACTTTTGCATCAACCTAATAGATAAGAGAGAGGGTCATATATAAGCATTTTAGTGGAGTAGCAAATCTCGCAAATACATACAACTTTCTGTAGCTGCTCACTCACCTCCTATGCTTTTTTTGCAGTAGAAAAACCAAACATGTTTATCAGTGTAACCCACAAGATATAGTGACTCCACAGGATGTAAACATAGAGGCAAAGGTATATATACTTTAAAGTATGTTTAATAATCTATGTTTCAAAGCATAGCCATACTTAATTATCTGAATGTCCAACCTGAGACACTAAAATGATTAGTGATGATATAAAAAGATTTTCACAATAATGTTTCAAATTAATTGAATACAAATAAACATTTTCATAGTCTCAAGTATTATTTAGGAATAACTAATTTTTTCTTGATAAATAATCTATTAAATATTTATAAAGGTCTGATAGACTAGTTCTTCATGAGACATTAAATCCTAATCTTATAAAAATAAAATGCACTCATATTCTATGCTGATACAATTTGGGAATGGATACACAGCTGCATTTGTTTGAGTTCTTAAACCCAAATTATTAAACCAAGGATTGGTAAGCCTTAATTGTGTAAACTTGTATTCTTATATACAAATATTTTTCAGCTGGTTTTTCTGAGAAGAATTTTTTTTTCTTAGAAGGCTACCACTTTGAACAATTTTCAAAGTTTAGCTTTCTTATTTTCTGTGAAGTTTGGAAAACATTGTCTCTACAGATCAATGAGAATAGTTCCTCAAATTTAAGGTACATCATAATCTAACTTATTAAATATTTTAGAAGTAGAAAAATATTTAATTCTCAATAACAGAAGTTAGATATCTTTCTGAATTATAGACATACCTACACAGAGTTTACAGTTGTAGCCACAGATCAATGTCAACCTAGAAACAAAAATCCACTGTCCAGATCGCAAAGAGTTGCTCTCTTCCATGGTGGGCACAACATTCTTTTATTTTTTTTTAGAGACAGGGTCTCGCTGGGTCACCCAGGTTGGAATACAGTGGTGCAATCATAGCTCACTGCAGCCTTGACCTCCCTGGTTCAAGTCATCCTCTTGCCTCAGTCTCTTAAGTAGCTGGTAGCACACTACCTTGCCAAGCTAAGTTTTTTGTTTGTTTTTGTTGTTTGTTTGTTTTCTTTTTGTAGAGATAAGGTCTTGCTATGTTGCCCAGGCTGGTCTCAAACTCCTGGGTTCAAGTGATCCTCCCACCTTGGCCTCCCGAGGTGCTGGGATTATAGGCAGAAGCCACTGAGCTTGGCACACAATTCTTAATTCATTTGAGCTCATAAACAGACAAGCAGAAGACCAACAGATTGGATTTTTATGTAGTTTCTCTTTTCTTTTTTTTTCTTTTTCGATGGGGTCTCCCTTTGTTGCCCAGGCTGGTCTCAAACTCCTGGGCTCAGGCAAGCCTCCCACCTCGGCCTTCCAAAGTGCTGGGATTATAGGCATGAGCCACTGCACCCAGCCTTATGTTGTTTCTTATCTAACAGAGAAGAGATCTACATCATTGATCCAACAGAAATCACCAAATGGCCAAACCATAAAACCAAATTCCCAATTGTTACTGCCATCAAATAGTGAATAATTTATCACTGTGGGTGATCAAGAAAAAAACAAACCACAGAATTAATAGAAAGTGAAGGGAAAGCCTAGAGAGACAGCAAATTTAAACCTCTATGACCACCTGGAAGCAGCCAAACAAAATGAAACCAGTTATTGGGTTTAAACAGGTCACTTCTCAAGCCAGGTATTTTATTTGGCTCAAGTGAGTCCTCTTCATAATCTTGGTGAAACAAAATTGGTATATTTCTTTGCCAATTGACTTTTTAAAACTTTTTATTGTGGAATATTTCAAACATATATTAACTAGAAAGGACAGTATAATAAAATCCATGTGCCCATCACTGAACTGTAGTAATTGTCATTCATGCCAGTTTTCTTTCATCTAAACCCACATCCACCTTCTCCTTCCCTTCAGATTATTTTGAAGGAAGTATCACACATAGTACTTCACTTTTCCTTTTATACCTCAGTGTGAATCTACAAAAAGAACTCTTAAAAACACCATGACTGAATCCCACATCTGCCCCGATAATTTACCATAATCCCTTCATACAATTATCCAGACAGACTTCAAATGTCATGAATTGGCCTATAACTATAGTCTATAGGTTATTTGAATCAGAATTTAAATGTGTTCTACCTATTGCATTTGGTTGATTAATCTTCAGTCTTATTGAATCTGTAAATTCACCTTGTATTTTATTTTTTAAAATCTTACCTTTTATTTGTCGAAGAAACTGGGTCATTGATGCCTTAAAATGTCTCATATTCTGGATTTTGCTGATTGTATCACAAGACTTTTGTTTAATATAGTTCTCAGTCCCCTGTATTTTCCATAAACTAGTTGTTACATCCAGATATTTAATTAGATTCAGTTTTGATTTATTGGCAAGAATTCTTCATAAGAGGAGTCGTGTGCTTTTGTCGAGGGGATGTACTATCTGTCTCTTTTTTTGTGATGCCAAAATTGATCAATGGGTTCAAATGTTGTCAGCCTGAATCTTTTATTATCAAGCTCCCGTTAAGCTCTTTATCTAATGATTTTAGGCTGATGATCAATGACCAGACCAATCATTTTATTAGGAATTCCAAAGTGGTGATATTCTATTATACCTTTATGATTTACTAGCTGGAATGCTTCTATTTAAAAATTAAAAAAAAAAAAAAAACAAGATGAAAGAATCTGTGCTTTAAGAGAATAAATCTGAATTGATATGAAGAATGAGTAGGAAGGTGAGACACTGGGCATAAAGATATAGTTCAGGATTCCTACAAGCCATGTCTGTGAGGGAATGAATGACCTCAACAAGGTAATAATAAGCAGGAGAAACTGGCAGAAAATGGGGCTCTGGAACTGGAGCAGGCAATGACATGCCTGACCCATCAGAAGGAGATCATAGAACCTGTATGTGTGAAAATGTGGATGCCACTAACAATAACAGTAAGGACTAGTGGTTTGGAGAAGGTGAAAGACGATGGATATTATTTTGTCTGTTGACATCTTTCTGTTAATGGAGACATTCTCTCCCTGCTGCATTTCCTATTGCTTTGGAAAGCCTGATTTTTAAGAGCTTTACAGTG